AATAGGTAATACTTAAATTATTTACTATTGAAAATTTTACAATATTTTCTAAAAAATCAAAATATGATTTGAAGAATTTTTAATTATAAACTAAAATAGTTTTTGGATGTATGCAGGATAACTCGAAATGAACAATGTATTACACCTGACAAAAACATAGTTAAGCCTAATTAATGGGCATAAATTCTTTTAAAAGTGTGACAATACGACGTTTTATTAAAATATATCACATAATATAACTACATGAAATGAAAAGCAACTAGGAGAAAATTGTTGACCTGTTGATCCAATTACTCTTTTGTAATAAAAACTGTTTATAATCTCGATGATAAAACATAATACTATATTCTTAATAAATTGGAGGGAAATGCATGTCTTAAGACGATTTATACTTTGTATTTACACGTTTGCTCTTCTCGAATACTATATAAGTATACATTTTATGTGTATATATTGTGTGTTTGAAGTGGAAAAAACAATGTATTTTCTTCTCACATAATATATTTCCATATTTTCAAAATATATTTTAACTACATTTAAGCTGTTTACACGTAGATCCTCATTAAAAGTGTTCTGATTGTTTTAGTTAAGCTTTTTAGTAAAATAAATAATAATAAATATTTCCTGAAATTGACTTACTAATATAATCTAAAATATCATCTACGCACAGAATCGTTTTTTGTTAGTTATATAATTTCTCATTAAATTTAAATTAGCCAGTTCATTAAAACGAGGTTATTTTTGACTAGATACACTTAATTCCTACTGAGTTGTATAACTTAAGCTACTTTATTACTTGGTACATCGAATTATGGTGTTCTTTGAACTCTTTGATACATAATGTGGTGTCTTCCGTACTCCTTTTTTGGACCAGTGGTTTTAAAATTTTACTAGGGTCGTTGTTTTTTTTTTTTTTGTATATTAGTGTTATTTTTCAAACAGTTATTCTATTATATTGACTATTTTAGAGTAATATCATTCAGCACATCGAATGAGCTACCGTGGAATTGAAAAATCATCAGTAATTAATATAAATATAACGTGATCTCAATTATAATAATATTTAAAAAAATATTATAAAAACACTTCAATATTATATTAACTCTTTATAAAAGATGTTATAAGTCTATATATAACCATGGAGGTTGAATAAACTATGTTATGATATACATAATACAATAGTAAAGAGCAAAATGCCAAAAATCAAAATGTTTATAAATAAATTTTTATAATTTAATAAATTTTTATAAATTTATAAAAAAAAAAAATCAATTCATAATAATAATACATAAATTTTGATTTTATAAACAAGTTATGAGACTCAAGTTGGCAACTCCTAATCTATAATCTATAACTTATATCTATTGTATCCATAAATACGTGCTAAACATAACCCGAGACAATCCGTGGTATATTTTTATAGGATCGAGACACTGCACATGACGTACGTGTAGTTCTTTCATTAATCTATAAGAGTTCATAGAATTAGTTTTAAGCTCAATTCTCATAAAATATCTAAAATATATTTTTACAGTACACTCACTACCTCTGTAAATCACTTTTTAGTTTCTACCTCATCCATACATCCAAATCTTCTAAATTTTTATATTCATTTTTAATTCCTTTATTTTTTATTCTGTTATAGAAAATAAAGTAAGTAACTAATTATAATGGGCCTCAATTCACACTATTTATGCAATGAATAAACTGTTGTTTTACTGTCAGTATGAAAATAAAAACCTTTTAGTAGACTTTAAATGCATTCGAAGGTAATAATTTATCATCATTATTTTATTTATCGAAATTGACAACTATGATAAAGGTGATGACGTCATCATTTTTTTACCAATAATATACTGCACTAACGTCATATATTCTTACAAGAAATATAATTTTAGAGGTACCTTGTAAAGTTAATCAATGGTTACTGATCATTATAATACGTACTCGTCATGTATTTATTGTACAAATATACAATGTCCTTTTTATTGCACATTTAGTGTTGCTTACGAAAATATCATATTTAGTGAACAGTTATGAGGTTATAAATACATAAATTACGTATACTAATTTGATTTCACATTCAAAAACAGAATTTCTTTATAATAGTTTTGATGCCTTATTATAAATGAACAATTATCTTAACCGTCGATAAATTCATTGGATTATTGTTATAAATTTTACAACTTAAACAAATTATTGTCACAACAATAAAATGATTCTTACAAAATTAAAATGTTTATACAAAAAACAGTTAAGTTTATAGATGATTATATATTTTTTATTTTTTTTATTGGATGATAAATGATTTCATTAGCGTAGTTTATCAATAGTATTATTTAAATATGATAATATCGATCACTAATCAAAAGCAAGTATTCTTTTGACATAACATATGATTTTCAAAAAAATATAATATATTCGTATTATGTGTATGTATTTAAATGATAAATATATCTTATAAACATATAACATATATATAGTGAATAGCGACCTTTTGTGTAATTATTGTAATTGCATTACTCAAGATCGACTAATAAAGAAATTAATTTTTTGTGTGAATTATCATATAATATTACTTATTAATGAAAAATATATACGGTAAAACTTGATCTAAAGAAATCTCAGCGAGAGGGTCCGTTACTCATACACATTACCACTACTAAACTTTTGTATAACAGTAAAATATTACCACAATATAAATGTAGTATGGTGTACAATCATGGATTTTTTTTTCATAGCCTCTTAATATGTATAGCTTTCATAGCTCAAATAAATATGTTCTACGCTCTTATTAACCTAAAATGTATATAACCTAATATGAAAAAAAAACAACAAACTCACCGAAAATGTCTATCTAACATTCATTTCGTGCAAACTTGTTAGTTGTTACACACGAAAGATCATATTATTATACATAGAAATTGTTCTGCTATAAATTAGGTTTAGAGTAAGACGCAGTTCTTTATAATAACGCGTTTCTAATAAATTCAATAGTTTTCTAATGATATTTCTGATTTTTTTTTCAGAAACCACCATTAATTTTGAATATTGAAACGTTTTTATTACTCTAAAAGAAGGTGCTGATAAAAAAAAAAAAAAAAGATCACACTATATTAAAACTAAAAAAATTATCATTCATAACGCTGAAGATCAAAGAGGGTAATTTTTATTTAAAAAAAGAAATTTATATTGCTTATAGTACATTCCTAAAATGTTATATAAAAAGTTTTTGAAAATATTTTTCTCGGTATACTTTAAAATTAATAAGATTAGAATTTGAATAAATTTCTTGAAAAGGAGAAATAATGACCTACTTCATGAATCACCCTTGTAGTGGTCGCTGTGCTAGACACAGCAATTAGTTATTACAATAATTATTTAAACGATGTTACACGTTTAATATGAGCTTTTGGTGTTGTTGTGAAAGGTAGGTTAAAAAAAAAAAACTTGTATTATTAACTGCTGATAAATTAAACAATTTATTTTATTTAATACAATAAAAGTATTTATATACTTTAACTCTACTAGAACTATGAACGACTATGTGCCCGTGCCGATGTAGATGTGACAAAATTCACGAAGAACAATACATAGTCTAACAAGATGGTATAATAATTAGTCTAGTGCTGTACCACCTTCAAAGTACACTAAAAACTCTCTTCCTGATTATATAGCTCCTTACAATGACGTATGGGAACGTGTTGTGTGTAAATATCTGACCTATTGACCTATTTTTCTTATATTAAAAAATTCCAATGTCAAATTTCTGCCCAAGTGGAAATAACATTGTTAAATCTTTGGTATCAGTTTTAACACGAACATCATATTATATTAAAACTATTTTAATAATATATCAACTATATATTGGGCTTGCTATATCCTATACAAACTGCAGAACTCCATAACTAAAGTTAAGCAAAATCTGCTTTATCAAAAACTGAGTTGTATTCAACACTACACTATTTCGAGAAATAATAAAAGTAAATAGAAAATTCTTTGTAAATAATTGTAATTTAAATAAATAAAGGAAAAATTATAAAGTATTTTTGGAAAATGCATTTAATTCTATAGCTGATAATTATAAATTAAAAAAATAAAATATATATTAACTTAATGAATTGTATTCCTGTACCTATATTATGTACAAAGTATAAAACAAACAATACAAGTCAATTTTATTCTGCTATGAATTCACGATAGCTAGTACAATATTTATACATTTTTACTTGTTATTTCAATATATACATAATATACATAGTATCTATATTTTTATATCACTGCAATACCACCTATCTCAGATATTGCCACTTCATAGGAGATCAATAAAATCAATTTAAGTTGAAAAAAATATTTACTAAAATACAATATTGGTTGTATTGTCTTTAAAATAACGAATGATAATATTATTTTACCATGAATAACTTACCAAACATACATATGAGTTTAAAAAACACGATTTTTTTTAAACAATAATGTTTTATTTAAAACTCATTAATAGTCTACACAACATAAAGGTAAATTTAATTTGTATACTTCATTACGGATATGGGTTGAAGTAGATCCATTGGTGGATTGTCAGACAATCAAATCAATAAATTAAAAATATAATAAGCCTAATTTGAATTGCTAAAAAAAGTTTGCGATTAAAAAGTATCTATTTATAATTGTACAAAACATTTTTATAAGCGTTCCCTGTAAAGTAAATAAGTAAATATTATTTAAAAATTGCATAGATTTATGTGTGCAAATGATATGCTCATTATACGTTACTAGAATTTTAACACTTCTAACCGTATCGAGCAATTTTTCTTATAATTGAGATTTAAATTTATTTTAAAACTGAGATTTTTCATTAACAATTTTCAAACACGCATAATACCTAATCATTCGATTTGAAACAAGTGAAGGATAATGAATATTGATGGCGGCTGCAATAAATTATTACACGAATGCCTTCAATAAAGCTAGCGTATATAAATACTTGTTGGACCACTCACCTGTTGCCGGGCCGAGCAGTAAGCGTGATGAACGGCACGAACGAAATTAAGCACGCTCGTAGGAGACGATTAAGTACGAGAATATGGTAAGACTGGCAAAAGCACGAGCAGGCCAGCAACTGACGGAGGGCGAGTGAACCGATGATCGACGGATCCTGTACACCAGTGTGATGGGGAGGGGAGAAAACGATCTAGAGACCGATCGAAAGGGTACAGTCAAAAGGGACGCGAGTGTTCCCGTTCCGGTGTTCAACCGGTGACTGACTAGCGACTGCGATGCGGCGTGAACACCACGGTTTAAGGGCTGGCTGGTTGGCTGGCGGGCGGGACTGTCGGCTGGCTGACGACCGTTGCGCGCGCCTAATTTAGAGCACCAACAACAAGTTGACCTGTGGCGCTGGTCGTGGCGCCGGGCGAAAGTCCTTCGTCGAATTTTTGTATTTCATCCCTTTGCTACACTACACTCTCCGGTTAGACTCCCGTCTCTTCCCGACGCCACCACCGTCGACATCCTCCGTCCTGCTTCAAACTCACCTCCCTCTCTGTGGTTCGCCATCACCCACCTATCGTGCACACGTTCCTTTTTATATACATATATATATATATATATATATATAATGCGTATCGTAGTAGAGCTATCCTCTCTCTCACACTCTTTTCCCGTCATCGTTCACCTGGCCGAGAGAGACACGTTAATCAATATACGATCCTACCCACACCTCCATCCCTATGTCGTCTTACTGCGGTCCCGTAACAATCGAAAACTACCTTTATTATTGTTATTGTTGCAATTTTATTTTTATTTTTTCTTCCTCTCTTCCTAGACAGTTTGCATCACGAATCGAAATATATTTTTTCCGTTCCAGATTTACACGATTTTTAAATATTATTTTAGTACGATTTTTATCGTCGAAAATTATTATCACATTCGTTATTAATTAATAACACGCAATTGATATTTCAGGTATTTAATACAAGAATGCTTACGGTCGATTGTCGATACCGACTTAAATATTTATTTTATACTATTATTATAAAATGCTTATCTGTTGTAGGTGTTTGTCGAATGCTAGAGGTATAACGGCTAACGTTTGAATAAATTATCTGATATCATCAATAGATGATAATAATAATTATTCTATATTCTGCCAAGTAATCTCTCACGTAGTTTATAATCTTCATTGTCGCTACTATGCAAACATACGTATAAAGAGTCATTAACTGGACATCGAACGTAAATGTATGTACGTTGTGTACTTGACCTACCTGAAGAGGGCTGGCATATCACTTTACATTCTGTAACCAATAAATGTACCTAACAATGCGTTATTAATACAGAAAACCTGAGTAACTACGTAATACATAATATATCTAAAAATTTCGAATGCAAAGGAGAAAAATCCGTTTTATACTTTTATAATATTTTATAATTATTTTTTTATTTTTTTTTGTTTATTAAGATTTAATTATAGAGTACACATCCTTTTGTGGTAAATATTATGGATGTTATTATTTTGTAATATTTTATTCAAATATTTGGAGAACACGCGATTAACTAATGTGTTTCTGTGGAAATTACTTATCTTTAAATACAATTGAAGCTAGTGCTATAGTTAAAAATAATTAAATATAACAAAATCCTAAGTATTTAAATAATGAAACAAGTGAGTAAAATAAGACATTTCATTTTTTACACAAAATTAATTGTTTATATCTGTTAAAAAATATTAAACTTAAAATAAGTATGATAAATAATTTTTTATTAATGTTATTAAAATATACGTTATTAAGTTATAATTTATTCAAACGATATATTAATTACATTATAGATACTATTGATGAACATTTGGAAATATTATTTGTTATTATTTATAAGTTATTTTTATTTTAATAAATGTTAATTTTAATAAGAAAGTGGATACTACTCATTTATTTGGTGCCCGAGTGGGCCATTGTAGTATAAATGATAAATTGGAATCCAATAATATATCAATTTGTTTGAAAAATGATTCAGAGTAAGTCGGTCTGTCAACCCATAATGCTTACTAAATTCCATGATATTATGTATTTATTTATTTATTTTTTTTTTTTTTTTTGTATTAGTATTACACAGTAGGATAATTCAATTTTAGCCAAAAATATTGCATCTAATATTAATATTTAATTATTAAATTAATAATAAATATTATTTTTATTTATTTTTAAGCCAATACCACCTTTCATAAAACAATGTGAATAGGTTCGTGGAATAAACAGGTGTTATATTATAAAATTAATCTACATGTTTTTAAAATGTCATTATACAAAGTAAAATTCATTATAATTGTAAAAATTGTAAGTCACTGAAAATATTTATTATTTTTAAATTTAACAAAATAATGAACATGATTATTCATTTTTTTAAGTATGTAATTTCTTCTAATTGAATTTCAAATATCTATAAAAAATAATTATGTATATAATATTCATTCTAGCTTTTTTGCTTCAGCATGAATCACTCATAAAGAATATTGTATTAAACTATCAAGCCTTAGCTTAAAAATTAATTCTTTCAGTGATTTTGCAAATTTTTACTAAAAAATACTTGTACATTTTTGTAAAATTTACAAATGTTACAAAACGAATCTTGTAAAAAATTTTAACTTCAAATCTATAAAAAAAAAAAAAATTGTTCCTAGCATTTTTAATATTTGTATACATATCTTATAAAAATATATATGAGATTTTATAAGTACAAATGAATAATATTTTATTAATATTTATAGTGAAAATGGAAAATATCAAACTTAAAATACTTTGAAAATTATATTATGCATGGAAAATAGTAGTATAAACATTAGGTGAAAATTTAGTTTATTTATGGTTGTGCTACGGTATATATCTGTAGTAAATTACAACAAAATAATAAAAACCATTTGAGGAGAAATAATAAATTATAGTGACTTAGTATTGCACGGTAATTAGCCTTAATCACTAACGTGTTTTAAGGTCAAGCATCGACTGGTGTTGCTAGCTCCTGGATGGTTGTCCATCCAGGTTTTTAGGAATAAATCTTCACCACATATACACATTATCCAAAACAGTACCCTCCTCCACTAAAAAAAAAAAACAACTAAAAGCTAATAACCATTACTGTTAAAGTCTAAAACCTATAAAAAATTAAAAATTAAATTATTCTTTTATGTATGTGATTCTATTAATCATTAAATTCCATTTAAATATTATATAAATAAAACATAAATCTAAATAAAGATGATATGTATTATATAATTAAACTTTTACATTTTTTTTTTTATGTATTTTGCTAACTTTCACTAAATTTAAATCAAACAAACAAAAACTTATGACAAAATTTAAAAAAATATTCAAAGAACATGTTATTGATATCTATCATCTGTGTTTTTTTTATTTTTTTTTTTTTTATTCTAATGTACAAACTTTATTTATAATTAATAATTTAAATTGAAAATATTGTCGCAAAATATTAAATTATTTTTAGTTTAAATTATAAAATATCTCTATGATAAGAGTTAAAAACTTAAATACATAATTTTATTACACGTTAATATTTATCTGTATAGGTACTGAAATTATTTCAAAAACATTTTTTAAAAATCATACAATTTAATCCTCCCCATGTACGTCACGAAACAAATTAAAATAAAAATCTTCTTCATAATCTGGAATGTAATATAAACAGAATTTTTCCACCGGATTCACATTTAGAGAAGTTATACCTGTAAAATAAATTTGGATTAGATTTTTTGATTATATCTCAAGAGATTTTATTTCAAAACAAAGTTATACAGCTTGACTTTAAACATATCATTTAAAGAACAATATTTTATTGCAAACTTGTCATTAATCATTTAATTTAACACTCAATTTATGAAATTCAGGAGTCAATTCTCTGGTAGATTACTTATTTTAATCTGAAGAACCTATACCTATTTCACATTGATCCAAATAGTATGTTTATTAATCGTATTATTTATTTAATGTAAACATCAATTATAAGATATTTACATATTTAATTTATTATTATACGAACAATTACGTTGTTTTTTACAATTGTAACATTATAATTAATATTAATATACACAGATACACTAAAACATACCTTTTACTTGTCTACTGTACATGCTTGAAATTTCTGTAAAAATAAACTATATTGTAACATTTATCTACGTATTGAGTGTTGATATAACTGTATACCATAAAATTAGGTAACTTTTCATACAAAATATTCAACAAATTATACAGTAGAAAAAAAATTAAAATTTAATATTCTAATTTATTCGTATTTTTCACTTTAACTATTATGCCAGCCTCAAAGAAAGATTAGTAAAAATTAATAGCAATAGATTAGTCTCACAGTTAAAAAAATAATTTTTCATTATCTTATAAAACACAAAAAAAGGTCAATCTTCGACTTCAAAAGTAGTTATAGGTCAAAAATTCTAGTTAAATTAGATTAAATTAGTGTTTATTTGGTACTTTGGGAAGTCAACAGCATAATATATCAATACTATTATTAAGCTAATTAAAATACGAGCATATTTAAACAACACCAGTATTAGACAAACTATGAAAATTTAAATTTAATATTTATGGTAGTATTTTATAGAAATTATATAATTTTCATAATATTTTTGTAATCAAGACACTATTCATAAGCATTTAATAATATTTTTGCTTATAAGTTGAATAAATAAAAAACATAAATAATTTAAAGGTAAATTATCAAATTTCTATTTAAACGTTTAAATAATTTTCAACCCTGTTAACATTTAAAAAATATATGGAACGCTGATTTTATGATAAGTAAACAAATTGAAGTTACTTTAAAACAACAAAGAAACATTTATTTTTTTTCTTATAAAAGGTTAATTTTTCGATTCGCTACTTAGTATTTAATATTCATCTCTAAAATAGTGAAATAAAAAATCAACACAAAATATTGAATACAAAATAGCGAAAATCATTTAATTGAAAGAATAAATAGGAAATAAATATAATGAAAAATATGAAAAAAAAATTAAAATTCTGACAAAAATTATTATTTTTGTGGTATTTATATTCTATACATTGTTTATTTTTATTAAAATGTTATAGGTAACTAAAAAAAAAAAAAAAAAAAATAATAAAATATTAATAAACTTATAGGTCAAATTATAGACTATTAATTTTCGTCGTATATATTTACTAATTTTTGAATCCATTCAGCCGAATCTTTGTACTTCTTTATTTTTCTTAT